TTTTTTCCCCCCCCAGTTGGCCTCATCAGGGTCTGCCGCCTTGAAGCTTTTTAAGGGCACTGTATTGCTTATGCTTCAAGCCCACCCTTCAGCAGGGCAGTGCGTGCATTGCAGCCAGAGCGGTAACCGTGCACACGATTGGCCGGGGCGCTTGTCCCTTTCAACAGGAGCAGGGTGTTAACCCTGAAGCCTAATGATGACAACACAGAGTGCAGGATTGTTTACTGCGCTGCTGCTGCTTACTTTAGCACAAAGCAGGAAGGTTTCTGAGGGGTATGGTATGAGCCTGATGTCATGGGCAGGGCTGATGTGCCATCTTCCCTGCCCCTCCCCCCCAAAGCCAAAGCATGCCAGACTCACGTTGTTGCAGAAATACCTGCACAAGCATCTGAAAACGGGCTTACCATGCAAGGGCCTTGTCAGTTGCGCCGATAACCTGGTTACTGCAGGGCCGTGCCCAGCATTCCCCTGCCAGTTTACCAACAACCCCAGTCAGACAGGACGCAGCTGCTGATGACACCGTGCAAAGGGTTGGCTCACACAGAGGCTGTGGCCAGCTGCTCCTTGGCACATTACACAATGGCCCCAAAGAGATGCAAAGGCCTTGGAACACGTAGAGGAAAAAGCTGGGCTGTCTCGGGCTGTGCCTGTGAACCCTCCTCAGGCGGCCTTGGCAGGAGTTTGGGGGCACCTGGTTGACCGGAGAGTGTGGGGCAGCTAGCACCAAGGTTGGGCACATCCCAAGCCCTGCTCGCATGGGGCGCTAGCGCACAGGATGGCTCCAAGCTCTTTGGGGGCAGGGAATCACATTGGTGTTGTCATCTTTGAAGCACCCAGTGGGCTCTGAAAACACAGCGGCTGCTCAAACGCCCTTTTTGTGCCCTCTGTTCAGCGCAGCCAGGCTTGGACAGGGCAGCAGTATGCGCCTCTGTAAGTGGCAGGGCTCAAAACACTGTGGCCACCCATATGTATTGCCTACACCACTTATTGGGCATGCCACAGGCTACAGCACAGGGCCGCCACGGCAGGGGGAAGCGTAGCCCGGTGGCTACAGCAAAGCTGGAAGCGGGCTATTCCGTGGCACGCACCTGGTGCCCTGGGTGACCTGCACAGCTCTATGTTTGCAATGCTGCAGCACGGTTCCACGCAGCGCACCCTGGTGCAGGTGCAGCACGTGCCTAGGGCTTATAGGGCCTCTAATGCGCCGGCGCCCAGGGCTGCTTTGTCTGGCTGCCGGCCTCCAATGGTTCTGTCCCAGTGGAGGAGCCGTGTGGTTAAGCAGGGGAGGTTGCTAGTCCCTTAGCTTGGTCCCTGCTGGTCGCTCCCATGCTGTCTGCTGGCAGACTGCCCTTGAGGTGGTTGGTGCTGACGTGTGGCGGGGGGAGGGGGGGGGAGGGAGGGGAAGGTAGAGGAGAAGCTTAATTTTATTTAATCCGTTTTAATTTTTACTCTATTTTCTAGGGTGCGCTGGTTGGTTTGTGGCTGACTCGACTATTTCTGGCTCACCTGTTTCCCACTGTGCTCCAGCGGTGGGAGGGCAGAGTTAAGGGTGTCAGGGCACATTCTTTAACTGGCTTTTGCCTGGCATTCCCAAGGCTTGGCTGTGCTGAACATGACCTTCACTCCGCGCTGATGAGGGGTTTTTTTTGGAGCTGTATGCTGGGCTGGACATGCCTCAGAGCTCTCCCCAAAGGGGCCTCGCCCGCTGAATGATTTTTGAGGCCAGTTGGCATCAAAGCACAGGAGAAGACATCTTTGGGCTGTTGTGCATGGCACTGGCCTAGCCATCAGGAGAGTTTTCATATCCCCAACTTCTCCACGGCCAGCCCCGGCTCCCTGTGTTGTCCTGGGCAAGACATGTGGGCTCAGGTCCTTGAGGATACGGAGGCCTTGACCCTCTCAGCCTGTGTAGGTGGGCTACCATCCCGTGAAATTCTCAGCCCCACCCTGGCAATGCAGGTGGCCTATGCAATGCACAGGGAGATGTGGGTGCCTAAGGAGGGATCCTCAGCAGCCAGGCAGGTGAGCAGGGGCCGCCTAGGCCCCCCCTCCCGCCCCCCCAGACTGAAATGGCAGGTAGAAGAGAGGGGGTTAGGTGCCTCAGCAGCTGCTCTGAGGGGCCTCTCCCGCTCCTCAGCTGGGAACACCCCTGGGCTTAGATAGATGGTGTTTGCTGCTAGGGCTTGGCCTGTCTCCTGTTCCCGCTCCATCCCTCACACTCACCCTATGGTTCTGTGTCCCCACCTGCCTCCCCCCCAAGCCTATTGGTGACCACACTCTGGTCCTCCATGTGGGGGCTGGCAGGTCCTAGGACATTAGGTGTGCTCTGAGCAAACCTAAGGGATTGGGCCCACAGAGGAGATACACCTTCCCCTGCTTAGTACATGAATCCCCTTTTCAAGGCCTGCACAGCTTTGGCTCGAATGAGGGCTCCAGGCCCCTCGGTAGCTTTGCCAATGTTGACCAGCTGCTCCGGTGCAGGTAGGGGGCATCCGAACAGCAGCTTTGAAATGGCCAGTTCTGCCTAAAGCCCTCTGCAGGTATCTAAATACCTTTAAGGAGTTGGGCCCTGGGTTCTCAATACCTCAGGTATCTCTATAAAATGGTGATCATAGCACCTCCTTTCTCTCCCCTTGGGTCTGTCTTTGTCTAGGTGGATGGGGACAGGGACTGTCTCATGCCATGTGTGTACAATGGAGCCCTGACTTCACTTCACACCACTGTACCCCGCCGAACGCTAAGTGCACTGCTCGCTACTTGAAGAGTGTGAACAGCAGCTCAACCTCCTACCAGCCGCCATTATTTCTGAAAAAGCACGGAGTGCGTGTTTTAGGGCAGTGTTTAGTAAAAATACCACACAGCATGGCCTCAAGAAAATATGTTTTTAATTCTGCAAGACAGACAAGTATTATGGAGTCATGGCAATGTAGTACATGGATCTGCCTCCACGGGCCGGAGGTCAAACACAGCCAATACAAGCTATTGAAAGACTGGATGCAACTGTACCTTGTAACAATACGGCAGCATGATACCAACAAGCCAAAAGCAGATATTGAGAGAGAACTGTGAAGAGAAATACCAGGCATACTTGTCAACAGCTGTATTCGATTTAAACTCTCTCCCTGTCAGTGCTACAGGGCTCGGTGCTGATTGCAGTTACACACAGGTATTTGGAATCACTCCAGATTTATGCCAGTAGCATCCAGCATAAGGTTTCCCTTGGCTTTGGTAAATCCCACTTATATACTATTTAGAGAGAGAGAGAAAAAAATCAAGATCACTAACGTTCTTCCCACCTCCCCAGGTAATTTTAATTCTGTCATTTAGCTGGTCCAATAAAAGATATTCCCTCACCCGCCTTGTCTCTCTCCCTTAGTGTTCGATGCAGACTTAGATTCCCCTTCCCCCATGAGCAAGTTGCCAGTTATTTTTCTCATCTATAATAAAACCTCCATTAACAAAAAGATGGGCGTTATAAAAGCCATTTACCCCAAGGTGGATATGGCAGCATCGCCAAACGTGAACACGCGCAGCAAAGCGTGAGCGTCTGTCTTGAAGCTCACTGTGTAATTATTAAGTGTACACACCTGTGCAGTGGCCGCGATGGGTTAGGATGTAATCACTATGGAATGTAAGCCCAGCTCCCAGATTTCACTTTGCCAATTCCAGGCAAAGTGACTGTTAGGTGTAATGAATGTAAATACCCAATTCTGCTCTCATTGATCGCAGTGGCAGCAGGATCTGGCCCTTACTGAGTAACCAGAGAGCCCAATTAGGATTTCAACTCTTACACTCTATATTAAAGTGAATGGAATTGGTGTGACTGGAGAATAAGGCCCTCACAAACTACTGCTTCTTCAGTGGGCAGTTTGGGTATCAGGTTTAAGATGCTCAAGCCCCATAGAGCTGAATCACTAGACTGATAGGTTTCGGAAATGATCAGGCACCCATGAACATGTCTTAGGTCTCCATGACCTATGGAAAGGAAGGAACCATAACTGAACTGAAGAAAGGAAATAGTAAAGAATAAACATGCGGGGAGTCTGATTTCATTTACACTAGTGCTATTGCTGTGTGTGTCATCTCATCTCTGAAGAGATTTTAAATTGAAGCAAATTGCTCAGTACCATAGTCTCAGGATCCATGTGAAATTGATCAAGGAATGTAGAATCGTTGTGGGATTGTATCCCCTAGCTCGCAATTGCTTTTACTCAGTTTTCAGTGAATGCCCTGTTGCTGGCCAAGTCAGGCCAGCGGTTTTGTTCCAGGCACACAAATGAAGCAGTGCTGAAGTGTGTATTTGTTTGTTAACTGGAGTTGAAATTGCTCATGATTTTGGAGACCTAGCACTATTTTGGCAACAACCAAAAACACAAACTCACTCTAGTCTTGAACTGAGCCTTAAACAAAATCCATTTTCACTGCCTCAACCAGGAGAAACAAACACAGGTAACACCACAACATGCCAACTAGGCTGCATTTCTGAATTTATTAGAAACAGCTGTCAGTACATCCTTCTAAAACATTACATGTAAATGTGCTTTATTGCAATTTTTTATTGCATTTTTTTTTTTAAAATCTAGAGCAAGTAGGCCCAGGATGTTTAGTGTCTGGGATTTAAAAGCCCGACCATCTATTAAAAAAAATACAGCAAAATCGTAACACATCTGGTGACAAGTACAATGTTGAATTACTGATCTAGAAACTACAGTATGACTTGTCCAAAAACACTAACATACAATTAGTTTCCATATGAAGCAGTTTGTTTCTTTTTAAAAGTTAAACTACACAAATTCCTTTTTTTTTTTTTAAACTACAGCATAAACGACAGAACAGGTTTTACACAAATAACAACAAGAGTACCAAAAAGTTACATGCTGGAATTCATATGGAGGAAAAAACAAAAACAAAAACACCCCCCCGCCCTCCAACAGCTTCATGAGAAGCCGGTTCTAAACAGAGGCAGTATCTCTTAGAAGAAGAAAAAAAATCAGATTAAAAAATGCAACATTAACACAAAGGTTATACAAAGGAGTGTGTGCTATCATTTCAGTCCGGACTACAAAAACCAAACATACAGTCATGGTTTGAACTGAGACCTGCCTTCATCTAACCAGTGCATTCAAAGTGATACATACCATTATCCTCCTTTGCACATTAGTTCTAGACAGGAGTTTGGTTAGATTGATTTAAAACATGCAAACATTACTGCATCTTGAAGGAAAACAAGAGGTTTTTTTTTAAAGTAACCTTTGCTTTGAACACATTTTAATGCTCTTGTCCCAGAGTAAATAATTAAAAAAACTTCTAAACAATCCAATTAAAAAAGAAATCATAGTCTAGACTCTCAAAAGCACATTGTCAAGATGTTCCTGATAAACCCTTTTCATTTGAAGAAAACAAACCCAACTTTGTCTAAATGTGTGTAAAAACGTGCAAATAGTGAATTTTGTTTCAGTTTTAAGGGGCAGTGCCACTTATGGCTAATGCATATAAATGTGTATGTGAATATATTTTACATAGAGCTATATACATACAGTACATATACACACACACAGATATGATGCAGACTGTTACAATCCCATGGTGCTGTAAACTGCCAAACATACAAAATTAACAGGTTTAGTCAACTGTATTCTTATACGATGTAAAAGTCACTCACAAAAACAAAACAAAAACAAAAAAACCCACCCAACAAAACAATCTACACACATTATACTTCAATGACGATCCGCAGGGCTAATTTCCCTGCTGGCATAAATGGGGCGGTAACCCCACTGAGGTGAATAGATTTATACCAGGGGGTTAATTTGGTTCCTGGCCATGGCTATGTCATTTTTAAACACAATTGTTTTTCCAAATGAAGTCAAGCCCATTCTATGATCACACCACCACCCAGCAAGCACATTTAATGGAGTGGTGGTGAATTTACAGAAAAAAAATATACACTCTCACTTGTTAAAGCCACTATTCCAGCAACATCAAATGGTAAAATCAGAGGAAATTAAAAATCAACGCCTAATTGAAAACGTTGTCTCATACTGATTGATCAGAGAGAGCCATTATTTCTATTGACCAAATAGAACAGACGCCTGTACTTCATTTGCTGCAGAAGCCTGCATGCCAAGTATTTTAAGTCAAATTCTAAACCAATGCTACGTTTGCATTAGCCACAGAATGGGGGTGGGTCTACTGCCAAAAGTGAAGAATAGGAGAGCTGCATTAAACATATGGAGCCAGCCCCAAAGACCAGTGTTTTAAGCACCATCATCTTTTAGAACAGCTCACAAAACACACGGATAATCCTCAATCTCAGTCCTGTGGAACAAATGGTAAGGCCTCTAAAAGGCTTTCAAAATTCTTCCCTCCCCTCCCGCAGAAAATATTTCTGGCCACAGAATGTAAGCTTTGCAAAAGTTTGGACAAATTTTTCTAAAGCACTGTCAAAACATACTCCTGCCATATAGAATAATTAGCTGTATTGCTTTACCAACATGTCCTGTTATTATTTGGAGGGAGGGAGGGAGGGGAGGGGAAAGAGAGTGAGAGTGAGAGTGAGAGTGAGTGTGTGTGTGTGTGTGAGACTTTGTTCTCTCCTCTTGCCTGCCCAGATTGTGCCAAAAGGAAACTAGTGGGACCGCAATGCAAGTTCCTTCAAATACCAACAGGAGATCTTTGTAAAAATAGTTGAGTAAGTCCTTTAAGACTTTCATCACTATCCCAACTGCTTTTTAAAACACACACTTTTTAAAATGTATAACCAATTATTCCAAGGCTTTCTATGCAAACGTTGAGACTAGAATCATTTTGGCATCTAATCTTTTGTGACTAAAGACAGGAGTCCTGTTCAAGTGCATTGTCCGTTCCTGCTCAAACTACAATCAGAAGTTCAAGAAGCTGAGCCCAGATTTTCAACCCATTCTCTCACTTACTAAAGCCTCTGTGCATCTGACTTAAATTTGCCATTTGAAGCAAAAACTGGCATGAGTCTTTGTTCTTTCAGGAATATATTTTGACTCTGCTGTAAACAAAGCTGACATTAAGGTCGGAAGAAAAACAAAAGAATGTAGGATTCTAGAATATGGTTGAAAACAAAACGCCACTTCACCATAGTGCTGTTAAAACTGCATTTTGAACCTCTCTTACCCTCCCCCCACCCACAAAAAAGTACCTGTTTGATGTCTGCAAAATGCAGCACTTACAAGCCTCACTAACATTTCAGATTTTCATTCCCCGTTACAGAAAAAACAAACATTCAAACAACAGAAAAGAGATTGTTCAAGTACCAAATATAAGGGGCTTTTCCAAGTGACACACCTTTAGCAATTCTGCTGTTTTAAACAGCCATAGTATTGAGTTACTGGACGTGTTGCCATCCAAGTTGCACACACAGCAATGTTAGGGCAACCGAGATTCTCCCCAGCCCTTACAACTGCACTGAAAGCGTCACCATTCATTTCCACAGTCTCCATTATGGCTGCTTGGCTTTAAAGAGGCCAAGATTTGCTTTGATTTCTGTCCTTCTGTGACATGAGTGCAGCCTGAGATTTGGGTATCATGTAAAGTAGATGGGCTTGATTCTCCTTTCACCTACACAGCTTTTCTTCAATGGAATCGCTTGCTTACACCAGTGTAAGTGAGAAAAGAATAGGGTCATTAGTTTGATTGAGGATTTCTTTTCTACCTCTGGAAGTGTGCACGCACATGGAGAAACCATGTTTGATCTTGGTGCAGAGAGTTGTACTGCCTCAGAACCCAGTACAGACCTAGGGACATGTGGTACATGGCAGGCATCGCGCCATCACTTCCAGGAACAGTTTAGACAACTTCTCTCCCCCTTTAACTGGAAAACGCACCACCATATATGTTCATATTCTATTACACGGTGGTTCAAATACTCAATGAGACACCCTTGTTTTTAGGCTGCACCTGTGCTCGTTGGGAAAACTTTGCAGCAGCTTCAAACTGCATCTTACCAACTCATCTCAACACCCCCACTCCTCACTTGTTCACAGTAAGACGTGACTGGTAAAGGAACTAATGGGAGGAGAGTTGGAAGTTTAGGAACTTCAGCAACACAACGTTCTTGGCTGATGTGCTGTGTACAGTGGGCACAATGGCAACTGTGGAAGTAGATCTGGTTTCCCCATTTGCGAAAAAGCAAAATACTGAATCACCCCTGTTCCCTGCAAATATACTTCAAACAGATAGAAGAAACTGCATATTAGAAAGTCTCAATATCATTTCCCCCATTTAACACTGTGCAAAAAAAAGTTTTATTTAAATCTATATATATATATACTTAATACAATATGGGTCAGTGAGATCAGTACTACTCTAGCTGCAGTCAGGTAAGAAATGGCTGCTCCAATAAACTGAGCATAAGTTCCCTATCTTTTGACCCTTGAAACCAGAACGTTTCTGCACTCTAGTCACACATGAGCATATTGTCTTCTGGTTTTTGGAAAAAAAAAATTATTTTACTCCCTTTCTTTTGCCCTTATGTTCTCTCTTATGCATTTGTTTTAAGCTTGTTAACAGCTAATACTAGGGCCCAATCCTGCATATTGAGCCTAATTCCAATTTCTCTTTCAGTCATGAAAGGAGTGGCTCTGTGCGGCGTAACAGGGTTACACTGGTTTTATACCAGTGAGTGAGTAGGATCAGGCCAACTGGAGTGACTGGGAGCAGGAGCAGGCCCCCTAGTGGATTATACCTGCTATGTATTTCACTTGGTTTTATACCCATTTTTCACTTGCCACAAGTGCAAAAACTGATGCAAAAGGAGGTGTGCAATGGCATGTGTGACCATAAAATGGGTAAAACACTAGCAAGCTGTAACTCGTGTGCCTAAATCAAGTGCAAAAAGGCACATGGACAAATCAGGAGTCATCAGGGAGATAGGGATGGAGAAAGTGAGGAACTTTTAGGTTTTAATTTGAATATAGTCCTAATCTGAAATGTAGGGGGGAAAAGAATTAAAATGCTTCTAGATGGCTTTTAGCTTTCTGGATGGATGTATTGCTCATAAAAATGCAGCACCTGTGAAGGGTGAAGAAATTTGAAATGGGGGGGGGGGGGGGGCAGATTCTGAGTTCATTCACAGCCCACTGTAAAGCCAAAGTCACTTCACAGAAGCCAATGGAATTACTCGGAATTTAGACAGGCATAACCAAGAGTGAAATCTGGCCTAACACATCACAAGCTCAGTGAGATTCAACTACAAGAAACCTTCAGAAGTAGTTCCACTTCCTGCACCACAGCCAGCGGTGCTGAGAAACTGAGCCAGGATTTAGTCTAATAATTGACCTTTGCTTGGTTAATATGAAAACCTATGTCACAGTTCAGATTGCAAGACACTTCACAGTTTGCAGATTCTCACCAGAGTGAGTAGAGAATGAGGAACAACTCCATTGATTCCACTAGAGTTTCCAGTGGAAGTAAGAGAAGGCTCATGATGTAATGCAGTAGATTTTCTGGGCCTTTGAAAAATCTACCCAGTCTGTGTGTAGTCTAGATTGAAACCAACAGCAGGGAGAATGCTGGAGGGGCAAGAAATAAAGCATGAGAAGGATGCTTTGCTGGCACTGGATTACCCGTAACTTAAGAGATGTGGCAAGTTGCTTTTATTTAAAAAAAAAAAAAGTCCATTTCTGACCTACAACTGGAACAGCGAATCTAGGTTTTTGCTGAATAGGACAGACATTTTACCAGCAACATAGTAGCCAAACAAGGGAAACTGGGTCATTTGGCATGGGGCCTTGTGAGAGGAGAATGAGACTAACACATGAAACATCTACCAGCTTCAGTTTGTGGGGCTTTTCAAGCCTTGACAATTCTTCATTTGAAGATCACATTCTAGCTGGTTAACCAGCAGCTGGGTTTAACCAGCGGCACATTAGTGCAAAATAAAGTGTTGCTTGGACATGCCAAGCAAGCTAAATTGCCCTTTCCACTATTATTTATCAGTGTTCAAGATCTGTCACAGCCCTACTCATGAATAAATAATGCTCTGCTTAACAGTATTTTATAGTGCCTTTGTTTGATTTCTCAGTGTAAACATTAATTAAGCCTCAACAACCTTGCCATTATTCCGTAGGGATTATAGATGGTTCAAGTTCAAACAAGAAGTCAGTGGCAGGGTCAGGAACAGACCCAAGGGCTCCTGACTTGCAGTCCTGTGTCTTAACACTAGACTGTTTCCTTGCCTGTGCAATTTACATACAGTGGGTATGAAACAAAATGCTACCACTAAAAACAGCAAAAATTTAATTCTAAGGCCACACCCGGAATAATTACTTTGCCATTTGTGCTTTGTTGCCAAACAAAGCTACTCTTACCTCATTCAGTTTTCCATTGTAGAGACTCAGTAGGAGCAAATCAAAATACTGAGTCAAGCATATAATAGGGACAACCTACATCTCTCTTCAAGTGCAATTATTCCTGGGCTTAAGCATTTTAGGAACACAGGATTGCTGCACCAAGTCACACCCAGGGTCTGCCTACCCAGCATCTGACAGTATCAGATGCTTCAGCAGATGGCACAAGAGAACGTGTAGTTTTTAGAATAGTCTATGCCTGTCTCATAGCAGAAGATCCACTTCCTCATTTGGCTACTACTTATCTGACTGCTGTGTTTACAAATAATGCAGGTTAATTTTTTATTATTGCTCAACACTAAACATGGCCATCCATAGCGGAACTAGATTCTACTAGCATAAAATCTTGAGTACCTGACTTCAGTGGAGTAACGGAAATCAGAATCTGGTCCTTGGTGAACAAGTCAAAGGGCATTTGTACGAATGAGCATACTATTTATAATAGAAAAAATCTGAGGACTAGTCTTCATGTAATTATTTGGTATAAGAAGCCATCCAGAAGCACTGCATTGCACCTTTTCTTTATACTTACATTACAAAAAAGTTACAAGGGTTTCAAAAGAATAGTTAATCATTCAGCAACAGAACTCACAAAACATGAGTGGCCAGCTTCATTCTGGTTTACATTCCAAAGCATAGTATCTAAAAGATTTGGAAAGAAGTGTCCCAAAACAACAAACAAACAAAAAAAACCATGGAAGAGGGGAGAGGGAGGAGGAGCAAATACATCAAATCAGACAGATTAGAGTTTTCAAAACCACACAAGAAGTTTTAGCTTTTCCTTTTATTTGTTTCAAGTTTTGGTGTAGAAAGTATATGTAGATGCTAATGCAACCTTCCCCCATAAGTGCTCAATCCAGCAACGAACAAAGTTTTGGTGGGTTCAATTTGGTTATAAACAACATTTCCTTTAAGCGAAGACCTGTAGTGCGGTTGAAACCAAAACTTTGTTACTGTTGGTAAAAAATAAAGCAACTTTTCTTTATAAGGATTTTTTTCCTTTTAAATAACAACCTGAAGCTTTCCCGTAATTCCTTTGGTCTTCTCTCACCAAATTCCACGCCTCCTCAAGATAAGCCCTCATTTGGAAGTTCGGCTGAATTGCAGTGAAGCTGCTAAAATTAACAGAGAGCGCATTGCTGTATAGAGTTTCCCCCCCTAGTTTCTTGGAGTTTAAGACTGAAAGACGTTACTGATGCCTCAATAGAGGCTTCAAAATTGTCTCCACAAGAACAAGAAAAAAAATCCCAATTAGAAGTTCTGCTGAAGGTGCCTGGCCAAAAATTATCTCCACAAAATGTTTTGCTTCCAGTTTTTTTGGATGTGTTTATGTTGAGTTCATTCCCCCCAGAAGGAAACACAAAAGTATCAGTGTAAAAGCATAGCTGAGCTTTAGGTAGCACCAGGACACCTACACCCAAGTTGTCGTCTTGTTGCTGCTAGGCCTCTTTGATTCACATTCACAGAATCACTTCTTGTGCAAAACAAGCAGTCTAAGGAGAAAGAATGCCCTCAGAGTTCTAATAAAAACTGTAGAAAAGAATCCAAGATAGCCAACACTTTCCCCCTCCCCAAAATTTATCTGCAAAGGGAGGGGGGCATCTGTGCGTAGACAGGATAGGCGAGCCTGACATTTAGGGAATCGTTGTGTTGAATGAGGGATGTCTGCTGGTAATGAAGGACTAATTCCTTAAGTGTGCTGTACAGGTTATATGGTTCTGCAAACCCATAACCCCTTGGAGTGCTGTAGATCACACAGTGTTTAACTTCACCATCAGCTCTGCAAGGAAAGAAACAGGACAGTTTAACATGACAGTCTAAATGTCAACAGGCAACTAGTATAGCAAGGCTGATTTTGCATCAATAAAATAATGACAAAACTCTAGCTAGAAGATGAAGGGGATGTTATAATGGAGATTCTGGGCAGAAGATCTGCTTCTGGGAAGAGTGGTTAGACATTCTTACGAAGAGATCTTTCGAAGAGGCTTTCACATGGGGCAGCTCTTATCTCAGTACTCCAACCCCCACTGCTTACTTCTCAAACTTTCATTCCGAGGACCACTAAGAAAGGGCACTGCAGCCCAGAGACTTTGCTAACCGCTAACTTAGCTCCAGTCCAATTCTACTTTAGACTTGCTTTGTCTAGTTTCTTTCCATGGATTTTTGACAGAGGTAAGTGGACTGATTCTCAAAATGGCATTTCACCAGTAGCTTGTAGTTAGCCCAGAATGTTGGGCTACGTTTGGTAGTCGGCAAACACAGCATGGGTTCCCAAGTCAGTTCGTTATCTGAAGTTATAGTAATCAAGTCCCTAACTTGGCATTTACTGAAGCACCACAATTATTCCACAAGCCTGGGAACTATTTGCCAGAAAGATCAGATATTAGATAATCCCCATGATGGAACTTTCATAATCCAAATCACAAGTAAAAGCAGGTTACATTATGCCATTTGAGTGCTATCTTGTGGCATAATACCAATCAACAGAAAGAATATGCCTTTTCTGAAGTACTATCATTAGCTTAAACATAGCAGCCATATGGATCTGGAGTTGGCATGTCTGCAAATCAGACCAAATCTCAACGTGTGTCACTTGGAACATTTCCGAATCCAAACTTTACTAATGTTCCTCACCAGAGAGCGACGTGAATATCTGGCCATAGATTATTATGGAGTTTCTTACTGGAATGCTGCAGAACTATAGCCTAGTGATTACATGACTGAAGATCATAAGGACCACAAGACCTGTACCTCCAAACCAACAGCTTTCTGCAACAAAGTTGTGCCATTGTAACCTAGATGCATCTGCTGCATATTGTGCTCATTTGAATGTGTGAATTTTAAGGTGACTTGAATTCTCTAAAATAATTCAAATGGCAAAGATACTTGAGACTGACAATCTAGAGGTTTCTGAGTAAGTTAAACCATAAAGAGAACAGACTTACACCACAGAACAAGCGTAACATCCTTTCTTGCTACTCTCTCGAATTAAAAATGCTCCATCAGGTTTCCCACGGAGCAAATCTTCTGCTTGGATACGGTTGAGATCCCCAACAAACCAAGTTTTCTCATCATAATGTGGCAGGTTTTCATCTTCTTCATTGACAAAGTAAGTACTAGAGAAAGAGGAGATGGAATTTGTTAGCTCAATAACCCAGTCGCAAAAGGAATAGTTATAAAGAGGAGGATTTATTCCGCAGAAAGCATTCTAAAGGAAAATAAAATGAAGAAAAAAAAATACGTCTGGGAAGAGGCAGCTCAAGCTTGAAGACCAGCCTGCTAATATATTCACTTAATGTCAACCAAGAATCCTTATTCAAAAGGTAGCCACATGCACATTAGCTGAAAACAGATGCTGGCTCACTGGACACAAAACTTTCCCTTAGGAAAAAACTCCAATCCTTTATACAGAAACTGGCATCTCATATTACTGAGCTCCTCAGTGGGAAGACCGGAGCTCTGCCACTTATCAGTGAGATTAAACGTACAAGGGCACTTACTCATCAATATTTTCATTTTTGATTCCCAGCCAGTCGTTTATTCGCTTCTGCCTCACTCCTTTGTGATTGAGCCATCTGTCGGGATGAGAAAAGAGAGAGCATTAATATGTTCCCTAGTTGTTTGCTACTGACCAAACAGAAGAGAAGCTTAGACTTCGATCCCATAAGGAGAAAGAATCTAGAGACTGAGCTTACCCACGTGCACTAAAGCCCATGAGAAAGACACAGATCCCAGTACACCCTTCTATAGTCTCCTTACAATGATCTCTTCACTGGGGAAGGAGCAGCAGAAGAGGCATGACCTCTAGACCCTGCAGGTCAATGGGGAAAGGAATGTACTATTGCAGCTATGCTGGGTCTTCTGATGATGGCTGCGGCTGCCTCCCTCCCCCAGAACAGCATGCATTGTCACTGGTGCTTCTGTCCATGTAACATTCTCACCTTCTCTCTGATACCAGCAAGGCTCAGAGGGAAACGTGCTTTGACCCTCCCAACCTGTGAAGTTTCAATCCTATGGATTTGGGTAGTAAAGGCTTCTGAGAGATTACACCATTCTAAGGAGCCACCACTTTGCCCTCTGCTCTTCTCAACCTAGTTCTGCATCTTCTGCTAGCGTTAGTGGAGGAAGACACATGGTCAGTCAGAGGGTATCATCCATGATGTTCTAATTCACATGAAAGCTACCTATCTTGTAGAATGTATACTGGTGTACCAGACATGCTTTGAAGTCTGACAGTTACAGTAATAAGCCATGAAGTTATTATTACAGAAGCAGTGAAAGGCTAACCAGCTACTCAATCATTTCATACCACAGGTCTAGTCTCCTGTTAGTGCACACACAACTGTGATTATAAAGAGGAGACCAGACTCCCATTAGTACAATGAATATACAGAATGATAGCAACTGTCTTTAACCAAGTTAATCACAGACATTGTTTTGAGGTGCACAGGGCTTGCCTACTTACACAAGATACTGATCTCTGATTTTGCGTAGCTGGATAAGATCGGGTTTGATGCTATTCATTTTCTTATCAATTTCCCTATTGTCCAGAGCTTGTTTCTTCAAATCCTGCTCCAGACGCATTTTACTATCATGGATCTCTCCCAGGCGTGATTTTAATTTCTCGTAATTCATCATAATTCTGTAAATAAATTTGTAACGTTTAAGAGGGAGAGAAATATACAACAAAAATCAGTCCAGACTGCTCTAGCCTTAAGAATGTTATTATTGAATGGCTTACCTCTAATACACAGTACTGGAAGACAAAGAGCCACATTTCTTTATATCACATTCCTCTTGTGTTACCATCAGTTTAGTAGTGGCTACTATTGTAAAGCGCTTTCATTTTGTTCGGAGTGCAGTTCTACCCTGAAAAGTCACTAAAAGGACGCTTCCTACTTACTCCTTGGATCTGCTCCTGTCATAAATTTTAAGATCTGTTTCTAAATGTAAGACAATTTTTTTTTTTTAAACTCTTGACAAAGCCAACATAGCTCTGGGAGTGAGCTAGATCGGATTCTTCCTCTATGCTCAGATTTGCTTACTCAAGTTCTAACCAGGAATACAAGCCTAGCACAGGTGTCACTGTCAACAGGATTTGGCCTGCAGCAGACACTTATTACTGGCAATGATGAGCAAGTTGGAAAGAACCCTGCTTGACTCAATTTCAGATCTCAAATTGGTTTGCAGGCCTGGCAGTTAAGAACAATCTCCCCTTCTCCCTCACATTCATTTACTTTACTTATAAACACACTGACACAACTGTTCTGGTGTCCGGGTGAAGCATGGGTGTCCCACAATGTCACTTTTACAAAGTCCCTTTTCAGAGTAGAATCACACTAAAGATATTATTGCAATTCAGACGATGCCATGTCAGGGTCAGGTTAGCCATTGGACTTGCCCTTTTACCATAGGGCAACCTACAGCTGTGTTTATTTGCAAAAATCTTAAGAACATTTAGGACCCTGGAATGAGACTGTATTCCTTGCACATAAATGCAACTGCTTATATTAAGAGGAGGAAGTTTAATATCTACTCTGCACAAATGTTTGGAGACATTTTATTACTGTGTAACTCTATAAAATAGGCAAAGCTGCTCTGCTGTTAAGCTTTCTAGATCTGGACTATTTAGTAAAGGGATAGCATCTTACTTTGTGATGTGTTAAGCGCAGCATACATTTATAGCACACTATAAACATTTTTAACAAAGAGTAGGGGAATTTTTGGTTTATAGTAGGTAGTTGCTCAAGTCACAGTAACTTTAATTGCCTAAACTATGATATTTATCAGTTCTTACGTAAAAAACTATCAAGAGTTTTAAGAAGGGGTCACATTACTTTGTTGTGCTTAGGTATTGGCAAAGCTTGACAATAAGAACTGCACCTTGCTATTAGCAGGCAATAGAGGTTTGCGCCTCAACCATTAACTTTCGTGTGGACTTCGGCCAGATAGAAATTCAATCTGCATTACAAAAATATGGCTGGGGTTTAACATACATTAAGATCAGGTTCTAACAGAAGAGAATTTTGATGCAGTTCACATTGACTTACACTATGATCATATCCAGCTCCTCAATCAAACTGCATTAGGATACCAATAGCCATTGACAGGTAGGGGGAAAATCAGTGTGGTCTTTCACTGAAAAGCGACACTAATACTGGGATGGTGGGGTTCCAGATTTACCAAGTCTCCATTTCAAATATGTTCAGTTTACAAGTGAAGAGATGTTCGCTCTCTCTCTTAACTGCATCCCATGCAAATTCAGCTGGGGATCTGACAGTCAAGCTAGGTTATTTCCTTCTCACACATCAGTGTTAGAGATTCTGCAGCACAAATCATGCCCTCATTTGTGCAACCCAATTAAGCCCTATGCGACACATGTTCCAGTGAAAACTGATTAACCCATGTATCCGAAACTTTAAATAATTTTGTTAATGCTTGTGGAGGAACAGAATTCAGCTCTCTTGCGCGTTACTATGATTTAAAACAAAACATTTGCTTTTGTAAGATTCAGTACATAAAACTATGAAAACATACAAGGAAAAGGTCTGCCGAGTCAGAAGTGGCCATTTTTCAGGGCAGAAATCACACTTTAGAGAGTGCCTACCACCTTCCCTACAGGTCTCCACGACTCAAAAAACCCTCATTGACAACGACAGTAATCAAAGTCAAACAAACAAAGAGGTAGTAAAAAATTATGGAAGTTTTCTGCTTTAGAAATATTAGTTTGTTCTTAATTTCAAAATGTTTAAAGAACCTTTCTAGGCACTGAATTGGGGCCAAATCCTGATCTCCGATGCACATGCAACTCTTAGCAATGTCAATGGGAGTTTCTAAATGGGCATCCAAGAGCACATTATGTGACAAGTGCTTTCAAGCTACTCATTTCCGAGATTCACTCTACACGTGAGTGTTAGAAATCAGCTAACTTTTCTTTAGCTCTCGTTTTAGCTGTAAATTAATTTCTCCCCCTCTCCAGACAGTATTGCTTGAGCTTTAAGAACATACACATCTAAACCTCACATTTTCCGGAAGAGAGCTCTTCACTATAAAAATCTAGATTCATAGAAGTTAGAGACCAGAGATCATCCAGTCTGCCTCCCAACCAATGCAGGATTGTCCTCTACAGTGCACAACTGTTTGGGATATTTGAACAAAGGAATACAAATCTTTAGTAAACATACTGAACTTTTAATCGTATAAAAGAAGGCTTAACAGAATTTTCTGTTAGCTTTACTAGTGTGTGTCTACATAAGGAGCACACACACAAGTATGGTTTGAAATCCTACCGTTCGATTTCCTTCTCATTCCCCTCTCTGCGGAATCGTTCAATGTATTCTTTGCTGTATCGCTCTTGTGTGTGGCACTGTTCCTCAAATATTTTAATGGTTTCATTAAATGCTTCAATTGCAGTTCTCTTCATCTGAATTTCCTATACAAAGAAACCAAAACCAAAAAGCATTAGTCATTTGCATCCTGAAATAAGTTACAAGCCAAGCACAAGACTCAGTTATGCTTCCTAAATTGATCGTCAGAAAGAAACCTTCAGTAAAAATCAGACATTGCAACAATTAATTAATTAAAAAAAAAAAGCTGAAGAGGAAAAAAACCCAGCCCACTTTAGCCAAAGCCTCATAGAAAGCGGACCACTTCTTCCTCCACAAGGCTTACCAAGTTAAAAAGTACTTGTAATTAGGCTTCTTTGAAAGAGAATCCCATCACAGATCTTTAAATTAAAATTTTTGGTTCTAGCTGTTTGTGTTGTTTTGCCAGAAGCATTAATATTAAAGTTATGATGAGACCTTTTATTTTACAGCAACCAGCCCGAACAATGCAGTATCAATACTGCAAAGCACAAGGTCTAATTTTGATCAAGTTATTATATAACATCACAGAACCAGGGTAGTGCCCTTCCAGATACCTCTTCTTCTAGGATTCTATCCTACTTTATGGCCCCTGTATGATGACACAGTGGCATGCAGTTCCTGGAAATCTCTCTTCGTCAGCTGAGTGAAGAGATCCGTGGTGCAGGCACTGTATAGAACAGCATCACTTCTGACTGCTCTGCTTTATGCTGGGAGCTGCTATGGTGTCTGTGATAGCTTAAAACCCTCATCTGGGCTGTGCCGTTCCTCCTACCGAAAAACTACATTCAATCACATTTCCTTTATTAACTTTGTAATTGTCATCCCCACACCAAAAAAAGCCCCAAACTGAAATCAAGGAAAAGAAATATGCTACCTATTGCTTACGTTTTGTTTAAAAAAAAAAAAAAAAAAAAATTTTTTTTTTTTTTTTTTTTT